ACTGTGTGGATCATAACAAATTATGGATAACATTGTGAAGAATGGGTATTCCAGAACACTTAATTGTGCTCATGCAGAACCTGTACGTAGACCAAGAGGCAGTCAGTCATTCAAACAGAGCAAGGGGATACTCTGTGGTTTAAAACTAGGAACGGTGTGCGTCAGGGTTGTATCCTTTCACCGTACATATTCAAACTGTATGCTGAGCACATAATCCTAGAAGATGGACTGTGAAGAAGAACGGGCCATCAGGATTGGAGGATGACTCTGACAACCTTTGATATGCAGGTGACACAGCCTTGCTTCCTGTGAAAGCCAAGAGGACTTGAAGCACTTACTGCTGAAGGTCAAAGACTTCTGCCTTTGTGTGGGTTACACCTCAACACAAAGAAAACAGAAATACTCACAAATGGACCAGTAAGCAGCATCACGATAAACAGAGAAAAGATTGGAGTTGTCAAGGATTTCATTTTACTTGGATCCGCAGTCAGTGCTCATGGAAGCAGCAGTCAGGAAATCAAAACATGCGTTGCATTGGGCTAATCTGCTGCAAACGACCACTTTAAAGTGTTAAAAAGCAAAGATGTCACCTTAAAGACTAGGGTGCACCTGACCCAAGCAATTGTATATTCAGTCCCCTCATATGCATGCGAAAGCTGGACAGTGACTAAGGAAGACTGAAGAATTGATGCCTTTGAATTAGGGTGTTGGCGAAGAATATTGAATATAGACTGCCAGAAGAACGAACAAATCTGTCTTGGAAGAAGTAAGCCAGAGTGCTCCTTAGAAGTGAGGATGGCAAGGCCTCATTTCACACACTTTGGACGTGTTACCAGGAGGGACCAGTCCCTGGAGAGGGACATCATGCTTGGTGATGTACAGGGTCAGCAAAAAAGAGGAGGACCCTCAACGAGATGAATTGACACAGTGGCTGCAACAGTGGGCTCAAACATAGCAAGGATTGTGAGGATGGTGCCTGGCCGGGCAGTGTTGCATTCTTTTGTACATAGGGTTGCTATGAGTTAGAATTGACTAGACGGCACCTAACTACAACAGCAGCCTCCTGACTGTGTCATTCAGTACATTTTTGTTCATTCTTGGGTTCATTTCTGTATTTGGAACCGTGGTGCTAACAATATTTCAGTGGTGCTGGTGTCCTACAGTGCAGTAGCACGAGTTTCACGTTAACTTTTAATGTAGCTTTTCTACGTGCAGTGTATTAACGTACTTGGATATCAACCTGTTAGGTGCGTATTTCTTGCAGTTTTTAATTTGGCTTACATCATTTTTTTTTTTTCTATAATGTAAACTGCTAAACTTATTTTTAAAGCAATCAAGAGCCTTAATTTGATGCTCTTTTCCACCTGAAATTAATATAATTTGGCCAGAGCCCATGAATCTTTGCATATTTCTCTTAAATGAAACTTGGTACATTTTTATTGCCTTAAAGGTTAAACCCCATGACATGTAACCCTCACGTTGTTTTCAAGTGGCTTTATATGTGAATTGACACACATCTGCTTTCAACCATGTAGTGTTTTCATTATGGTTGACACTAGCTGAAGAGTGAGTTGGTGTTGATATGCATCTGTACTCGATAGTTTTCATCACAGCCATCTTTTTTTTTAATTTCCTGTTTTTAATTAGCAGTCCATTTCTGGACTGAAGGATAGTTATTTGCCTACTCTGATGAAATGTAGAATTTCTAAAAACCTCAAGCAAGAAGTAAATTTAATTAACTTAATTAGCAAATTAATTTAAAAGTCAGGAAGCACCAAAATGTACAAAATGATGTACGTAGAAGTATCCAGGTGTCATGGCATGCAGTGTATTCGGAGTTTGCTTGTTGTTGCCCCCACCCTGGCTGTGTGATGAGACTAGACATGCTTGTTTACTTGTGGGATTTTTGGTGAGGATGTACGCACAAGCCAGCATTCAAAACTAGCGCCAAGCTACGGTTTCCTAATCAGCAGTGCATTTTCCAAAGTTCAGTATTTGCCAAAGGGATGAGGGAGAAATGTTACTCTTTAATGTGTTAAAATTTGGCACATTTGTCGGTTTTTTGTTGGGGGAATGTGCTGTGGAAAGCTTGGTAAAAGTATATTGTGTTCTGCATAAAAGTGTATTGACTATTCAAGTTCAATCACCACATTATACTCTTAGAGTAGCGTTTCTTTTTTTAATTTAGGAATTTTTATTTATTAATTCCCTTTAAAACAATAATAAACCAGTTTTTTGTTTTATCATATCTTAAATCCTTGATAACATAAACATTTTTAGTGAAAAATAACTATTTCCAAAACAAATAATATTTAGTAAGAAGAGTGACATTGTTTGCATTTTTTGCAGTTTTTTTTAATGAATGGCCTATTAGACAATTGCCTTTTCATATATGCTTCTGCAATCAATAAGTTACAGTGTTATTTGGTAGAAATACACGAAGAAAATGCACCCTCACACTAATACATAGTTGGGAAAGAAAGGAGTGTTTTATTAGCCTTTGCAGTTGGTTGTGGATGTTCTTTGATACTACACTAAAACTTAACAAGTGATATTTTCTTAAAGGTTAGTTACAGTGTAGAATCTCCAACTATATCAGTAAACTTTTTGTACTTTGTGAGAGTAAAATCTGTTGCTGTGTCTTGCATTTTGAATGGATCTTTTTCCCCATACACAATTTCATGACATCATGCATTGGTCATTGGTTTACTGAATTATGCAGAACTTCAACTTGTGACATTTCATTATGCAGTATTAAAAAAAAAAAATCACATCTTTAATATGACCATTGTGCTGTGAAGGTTAGCTCCAGCAAGCTTGGAATTAGCCTGAGCTCTTTTGCTGTATGGTAAGATTCTTGTGTGACTTTCAAGGGCTTCATGACAAATTTTGTGTGTGCTTTTACTAGAAAGAGGATCTATAGCTTTCTAAGATTCTCAGAGGATTCTAGGACCCTCTCCCCCAAACAGTTAAGGACTGTTAAGAAGATTATTAGCCCTTACATAACTGATCCGAACTGTTGCGCTTTTATAGTTTTCACTTATTTTTTTATGAACAGTTGCTCTTACACATAGTAAGATTGTGCTCAGTAAAGTTACTGCAGAATGAAGGTTATTTTCTCCTTCCAGACTGTCTATTAGCTCTTCCTTCTCCTAGCTTTGAGTGTGCCTTTCTCTAGAGCTATCCTCTCTTTCCTCTTCACTGCTGCTACAGATGGATCATTAAGGTAAATCACATACACTCCGTCAGACTTACATTAAGGAAGAAACAAAGTTCTGAATGAGAATCCTTCGTAGAATCTGAAGATCGTAACTATAAATGTTGTATATTTACACTTTGATTTAGGTGTTGCTATTACTGCAGAAAATTATTTTTATTTGAATAAGTAGTTTGAGTTCAGGTTTTCCTTCCTGTGAAAAACTGTTTTGGAAAATTAAAAACCACTTTGCAAGTACTGTGTCTTCAGGGGAGCTCAGCTCGGTTTTTGTTATTACCCCTTTAGGATACAGATGAATTTATTTTGCCAACTGGAGCTAATAAAACCCGGGGCAGATTTGAACTGGCCTTCTTTACCATAGGAGGATGTTGCATGACAGGTGGGTTTAGTAAAATTTTTTTTTTTATTGCCCTCAATCTAAGTAGTTGAAGGAAAATTCAAAAAAAAAAACTTTTTTTAATCAAAAAGAATCAGAGTATCAGTTTCAGTTTTTAAATCATATATATCTTTTTATATTAACTAAAAAATGAAAAAAGTGCAGTTTGTGAATATAAGACTGTATATTTGGATGAATGTTGTTATTATGATTTATTAGGGGCTGCATTTGGGGCTATGAATGGTCTACGGCTAGGATTGAAGGAAACCCAAAACATGGCCTGGTCTAAACCAAGAAACGTACAGTAAGTCTTATGTCATTATCTGATGTATTGATGTTTGAATATTAACCTCTGCTTTGTTGCTTTGATGAGTACAATCTTGAGATTTCAGATGTTTAGAGAGATAGCTTAGATTTTTGTCTTTTTTTTTTTTTTTTTTTTTAAATCTTACTCCAGAGGAACTAAGGGAGCAGAATACTAGTCTAAGCTTTTAAAAGGAGTGATTTTTTGAGTCTGTCAGTGTCCCTCAATCACCTGGTGCTACCCCAACCTAAATGCTCAGCTCAGCAACACCTGTTCCATTTTCCAGGCCTGTATGGCATGCTTTCCAGATTGAATTATTAATATGACATTTGGATAGTTCAAGAGGGCATGCAGAACCAGAGGACATGGTAGTAAACAAATAAGAAGCGTGTAAGAGTGATTGCTAGATCTGTGACTTTTTTCTTATTGACTTCATTCACCATTTCTAAAATGGACAACTGCAGAACATTTACATGATGCCCCTAGAACTTAGAGGTGGCTCCAAAAGAAGTAAAATAGTCTTTTCTCAGGAAATTGAAGTTTGCATAGAACGGAAAGTTTACAATTATAAAAGGATTAGAAAGCGTATGTAGTATATATGTTCCCCTTGCTTAAGAAATAAAACATGACCAGTTGCTGTTGATATTCCTTAAATAACATTTTTTAGCTTTGCATTTTTATGCTTTATGTAAATGGAGTCATATAGGATGTGTTCTTCAGTGGCTTACAGTTTTGTTTTTCGTCCCTTTTTAAAAGTTCATTGTCCTTATACGTTGTGTAACCAGCAGATGGCAGCAGTTGTGCTAGAATTAGACCTGGGGAACCTGAAGGCAGGTCAAGGTTTTGTTACGTGGATGGATATCCTCCTTGACCAGCCCAGATCCTTGAGTGTTTTTATATTCCTAATGTTTCTTGTCTATTACTCCAATTGTTTGTTTTTTTACTTTTTGTATTCTGGAGAATTCTGAATATACACAAAAGTAGACAGAATAGTATACTGAGCACTATGAATCCATCCTCAGCAACCATCAGCTCGTGGCCAGCTGTGTCCCATCTGCTACTTGTGTTCCATATTATTCTGAAACAAATCCCCATTATCATGTCATTAAGTTTTTAAATGTCTATTTGAAATTAAAGGTCTCCTAGAAAAGCTAACCTGCTTTGTTTCTTAAAATAATAATGGTTGTTAATGTATTTGGAGAGGACTGAATTGGCTTTCTTTTTTTAAAGTTAAATCTTTTAAGTGTTAATATACCATTTTTATATAACTGTGACCTTCCAACATGTAATAGTAGAAAGGTAAGATTTAAGCTTTGAATCCTAGCTTCATCACTCACTGTTTGTGATCTTCACCAAGATTTCTCTCATCATTTCTTTTAAGGGTTATTGAGAAATGATACAAAGTGAGAAGTAGATAAGGGACAAGTAAATGGAGCTACATTGCCAAATTGTATTCCAAAGAACTTTACCAGCAATACATTAATGAAAATTAAGAATTTTAAAAGCAGGTTACAAAAGAAGCAGCAATGTGCTGAAAAGAAAATATACTAGTAAATATGTAACATTAGAAACAATGTAGTTCTTTTAGATGTACTTTTTAAGCAAGTACAAATTGGAATTATGTTAGAGTGTCACATACATTAGGAGTTTTTTGACTGTTATTATAATTCCATCACTCCCAGCAGTGGTCAGCTGTCCCGACAGACCCATTGCTATGATGGTGTTACACTGCTGGGAGAGGAATGTCTTGTCTTCCTCTGGTGGCCTTTGTCACTCTTCTGGTCACATCTGGCACTGGGGCAAGGCACAGCTGTGCTTCCCTGAGAGTGTGCTAAGCATTCACCTGGCTGCTTAGCTCTAGTCTGGGAGCAGACACAGATTGGGGTTCTCTGGATAGAGTACTTAGGTGGCTTTTACTTTGCCTTTTACTACTTATCTTTGATTCTCTTTATAGTCTAGTTTCATATTCTAAAGTTTGATTCTACTTTACATTCTAAGTGTATACTTTATATTCCTCTCCCAAAAAGAAAATCAAGCTGGTTTGTCATAGTTATAATGACACTTCTTACCTAGATCAGTTTCTGTAAACTTGTTTATAAAATATCTTCCAGGCTGTCATCCACAGCCACTGTAGTTGAGGCTTAATCTTCATATACAGTGAAACACGGGAGAGCCGAGACTCGGTGGGACTGTCTGGTTTTTCCAGGTCTCCCAGGTTTTCTGCCTTTGACAGGATGCAGTCTTAACATTTTTCTGTCGCTCATTTTAGTGGAAAATATTTGAGTTTCCTTCTCTGACAAGATTCCATCTGACACAGTTTCCAGCTTTCGCAGGTTTTACTATATTTACTATATTTAATAAGAATTTTCCAAAACGTTGGAAACTTTAACCTAACCTTCATTTATATGGAGTATAAAAGCCATTGGTTTTGAATTCTGAGGAGGTATTAAGATTAATTAAAAATTAAAGAAACTTTGAGGCTTGGGTTTGTATATTTTAAATAGCTACCATTATGGTTAAAAAATTCTTGAGAAATAATCATTCTAAATACATGTTCTTCCTCTTTCTTCCGTTGTAGGGTTTTGAATATGGTGACCAGACAAGGGGCACTTTGGGCTAATACTCTAGGTTCTCTGGGTAAGTAGAGAGATCGTTTGATAATAGATTGTCAGTGCAAGGAAGGAATATGTAAGTATCATGAACAATTTAAGCAACCAAAATTCTGGCCCTAGGATATGAAAAAATTATGTTTCAGTCCACTCAGGCGACTAGTGTAGATGCTACTTGGGAAAAGACCGTGAACTGCATAATGAAATAATTCTAGGTGCTGATACCATACCAAAATCCAAAACCAAACCCATTGCCATTAAGTCATTTCCCACCAATAGCGACCCTACAGGATGGAGTAGAACTGCCCCATAGGGTTTCTAGGCTGCCACATCTTTCTGCCACGGAGTGGCTAGTGGGTTCGAACCACCAACCTGTTGGTTAGCAGCCGACACTTAACCACTGTGCCAGCAGCGCTCCTTTTTGCTGCTGCCATACTGGGTACCATTCCTGGATGTTTCTGATCTTTTTAAACACTCTGTGCTCCTCTTCCCAATACTTAATAAAATCATGTTTTCATTACATGAGAGCCAGATAATTTAGGCCAAGGCCAAAGGCTTTGTATGCTAGGAAAGGTTCAAGGTCCAGTGACGAGACATGACTGAGTAATTGCTGTTTTCCTAATATCCTTTTCATTAGTCTATTTACCGATGAACCTAATTGCCCAGTTGCAGTAGGTCCTTTGTAGATAATAAAAACATTTGCAGTTCCAGGCAAAGAGTAATTGAGTTGTACCGAGTACGTAAGTCAGAGCTAATGTGTTCGTACCAGCTTGTTCCTTATGAAGGACTGGCTCTTAGCTCTTTATTAGTGATGACACATAATGGACCAGCTTGTGGCTCTTAGGCCCTAATATCCAAGGGTTCTTTGTGAACTTAGTTGAAAGTCTGAAAATCTTTTAATTGTGGCAGATAAAGTAAGAGGAAGCTTAGACATCTCATTGAAGAGATAATAGGAACCTCTGTAGTGACTGTCGCAGGATGTGGAAGCAGCACGTTTTCACACCCTAAAGCCAGATTTGCCTTTCGGGTCCTGAGAGATGGCTGCCTCCCCGTGCTGCTCACTCCTGCGCGCCCCTCACCTTGTTTGTTCTTTCTGATTGTATATCGTGCTTGTTCTGCCTGGGGCTTTCCCGGTATCAGCACAGAAAGTTTGGCATCCTGGGAAAGCCCTTAGCCGTGAGCACACCAGGATGGCTGCTTTCCCTGTGTGGTCCCCTTTATGATTAATCAGTGTTCTCATCATACTCACTGTCAGTTAAACAAGCTGAAATAAGAAGGTGAGCTTTTATAGAAGTACAGAAACATCACAACAGGAGTCGTAAGGCTGAGCTTGGTGTAGTTTGTTCAGGGGTCAGATATGACTATAATTTTGAGGAAAGGTTTACTGTATTCATTGCTGATAACAATCTTTAGAGACACAGGAGAAAAGGGGGGCTTGGGGGACAATCATGTTAAAACTAAATGGTGTTAGTGTTATAATTTTTAAATGTAAGAACCAAACCTCACATTTTTAAAAATCATAATTTATAAATTGTACTTATAATAAATATAATTTTTTTTACTTCAAAGTACAGCTGTTATGGGTAAAATATAAGTGAAAATTAAAAATATTTTTCCTGGAACTCCCCAGTGGTACTTTCCAGAAATAGCTACTATTAATGTTCCTTCTGAATCATTCTGGACATTTTTTTTTCACAGCCAGAATGTTGTACACACACGCATGTGCAAGTACTTTTATGTGGTGAATATAGCTCTTCCCATTTTGTTTTGGTTTGGCTTTTAAGTGAGTATATAATATTCCATTATATGGAAAGTCCCTTTTGGAATCAGTCCCTTCTTGATGGGTATTTTAGTGCCAGGTTTTTGCTATTACAGTGTTCCAATGTTCATTCCTTATATGTCTTTGAATTGTTATGAATTAATGTCTGTAGGATAAACTCATCTCAGTATGATTGCCATGCTGACTTTCAATCCCTGTTCATTACTGATGAGTTCCATTTCCCTAATAGCTTTGCTCTATAGTGCATTTGGTGTCATCATCGAGAAGACACGAGGTGCAGAAGATGACCTCAACACGATAGCAGCGGGAACTATGACTGGCATGTTGTATAAATGTACAGGTAGGTACTATGGAATGTACAGTTACCTTTCAATACACTTGGAGCGTACTTGTACCCATAGTTCTCAAAGGAAACTTTGTAAGTACGGTATAATCTGGTGTTCTCTGAAACAACGTGGTGGTTTTGTGACATTAAAAAGATGTAAGATTCTTTTCTGTACATTTTGGTTCCTTTTTTTTTTTTTTTTTTAAAGTTGATTAACCTGATTTTTTTTTAAAAAAAACAATACCTTGTCCTTTGAGACCAGCATCTTACACTATTAAGAGACATAGGCAAAGTCAAAGACCAAGAACAGCTTCCCTTAAGTCAGTTGATGGGAGCTTGTTATTCTTGTGAGACTGTTACTCCACTGGGAATGAACATCTTTTGCTGTCATGGATGCAGCTGGTACAAGGGTCAGGTAGTTCTGTGTGTGTTTACTAGTTTGGAAGCAGATGTCCAAATAAACGTCTGATGTTAATTTTTTAATGCATTGATCTTTGTTCACTTTTCTTTAGTTTTTATCAAAGTAATCTATGTATGTAATTTTGAAAGTCAAAATAATACTGAAAGATTTTAATGACACACAATAGTCTGGTGTATTCACTCATCCCCACCCTGGTTCCTAGTTCCCAGAGGCAACAACTTTAACTTTTTGCTATTTATCTTCTTGTTTCTAAATAGCATACTTATCTTGCTATTTGTTAATTTCCCAATCTTAGATATTGTCTGTTGACTTTAACTACTAGGAAAACTATGTTAATTGCTGTAAGAATTGCACAGAACTGTGCTTATGGGGGAAAGAAAGTCACTTGTTTATGGGTTATCTCATTTACAAGTCTGTGAGAGGAATAGGGTCATCCTTGTCTTACAGACGAAGAAGCAGATTCAGACAAGGTCACTAGGAGGCTTGTTTTCTGCTTTATTGTTTTTTCGTTTTGTTATATTGTGAAAGAAGTACATGTGACTTTGACGAACACAGCGACCAGCTGTCCTGGGCTTCCCTCACCCCTGTCCCACCACCCCTTACTTGCAATTCCAGTTCTTCCAGGCATCACTAGACTCACTAATGGGGAGTGTCCCAGATCCCTTTGAGATTCTTAAGGAATTTTAAAGGGGTTATAAATCCTGAGTTAAAGTCACTGGGGTTAGACTCTGTACTCATAAGAAGGGTGAAAGTTTAACTCTTTAAAGCTTATGATTAAATGAGAATGTTGGTATTTAGAAGGTGAGAATTAATCAAAGTCCAATTAAGCCAGACTCTTTACAGTGACCTTCAAGGCTCTATATTCTGTGCGATTTGTTCCCTTGTCACCTTTTGGATTTCAGATTCCACTACTCTTCCCATTGCCTTTTAACGCCCACTTCAGTGCCTTTGTTCTTGCTCTGTTACCTTTCCTAGAACAGTCCTGGACCTCTACCATGCATGCCCCCTGGTCTGTCTGTCTTTGTCCTGTCTTCTTTTTCTTCAAACATCACCTTTTGCTTGAGGCAGTTCTTAAACACTTACGTACGGATTTGCACGTATGCTTTGCTGTAGGATGCCAAGTTGCCCTTTGAAGTACTTACTTATCTTTGCCAAGATAAAGTGTTATCTGCCATCACTTTTTTTTAAGCCAGTTGGTGAAAAATGTTAGCTTAATGTTTTACATCGCTTTTCCCTGGCTGCTTGTGAGAGGGAGCAATTTCAGTTGTTTAGTGCCATTTGTATTTCTTCCCTAAAGTGCGTTGTAATACCCTTTGTCCATTTTTTATTGGGTTGTCGGTTTAACTGATTTACCTGTTAAGTGTTAAATTTTTACTTACTGGAAGAACATTGATGCCAGTAATAGAAACAAATCATCAAAAAAACCAAACCTGTTGCTGTGGAGTCAAGTCCGACTCGTAGCAACCGTATAGGACAGAGTAGAACTGCCCCCATAGGGTTCCCAAGGAGCGGCTGGTGGATTCAAACTGCCGACCTTTTGATTAGCAGCCGAGAGCTTAACCACTCCGCCAGCAGGGCTCCAAAGAAGTCATCAAGAGGTTCTTCATGGTGTGTGAAGTTTAACAGTGAAGGTCTGGCATTCTATTTTGGTATTGATAAATAGAACCTTTTAAGCATAATGCTGGTGATAATTGCTTAATTTGGAGAACTAGATTTTGTTATCCTTTACCTTTTATAAGCCTTCTTTATTGCGAAGGCATAGAATTAACAGACGTGGTTTCTGAGGCCTTGTTTTCTGGAGATATGTGACCAGGCTTCTGAAGATTTCTAAGCTTATGGATGATAGTAAAACTACAAATGTTCTTGTTCTGGTAGAATTTTGGTCATTATTAAATGGATTCTCGTATGCCAAAGGGAATTGAATAATGAGATTTCATACCCTCTGAAAAATAATTTACATGGCTTATTAAATACAGGCATTAGACCTGAACTAAAATCACATCATCAGAGTTCTTTTTTAAATTAGCCTCTTTTGAGTCTGACAGCTCCTCATCTTCTCATGTATTTTTCCTCATCATCTTCCTACTGAAATAACTCTGCCTATTGAGTCATACTCCGTTCATTCTAAGCTCCCTTCCTCTTTTCTTTTTCCTATTTTTGAAGAGTAAGTTGGTGATTGGAAACATTTTTAAGAGAAATTAGCCAGTCCGTAACTCTAAACTGCTTAACAGTTTATGTCATTAGGTGCCGTCGAGTTGATTTCAACTCAGAGTAACATGGTGTGACAGAGTAGGACTGTCCCATTGAGTTTTCTAGGCTGTAATCTTTATAAGAGCAGATCGCCAGGTCTTTCTCCCACAGAGCAGCTAGTGGATTTGAACTGCCAGACTTCAGTTAGCAGCTGAGTGCGTAACCATTGCACCACCAGGGCTCCTTTGGTTCATGTTGGCTCTGTACTAAAACTACTAAGGTCTTTTTCACATCCTTGAATCTGGAAGTTGAAGTTGTATCTGTATTCCTGCCCCTCAAAATTCATAATTCTGTGCTGTGTTTTCTTGAGTTTGTTCTACATCAGAAATTAATAAAAGGTACTGATATGCCTTCATGAGAGTGATTTCAGTGTGTTGAGCTAAGCCAGGAACTGTTAGCTAATGCTGGGATTCTGAGCCAGCAGAAGATTATTTACCTTCTCCGTGTTCTGCAGTTGCAGTGGAAACTGAAATTTACTTGTCATTTGACATAGAATTAGTGGGTATCTTTTTGTGTTTTCTCTTCTGGGCTGAGAGCTTTCTCTTCCGTGGTTTATGTTGGAGGTGTCCCAGACTGTTGTTATTACTGCAGGGAAGTCCTTGGCACAGAAAATTAGGCTCCCGTTTCTTTTGATAACGTCAAATATTTAGCCTTTTTCTCGATCTTGTAGATACGCGTTACATGTCTTGAATTAGATGATAATTCGGAACATTCCTAGATTCAGGGCCGCCCTTGACAGAGGAAACGCCATCGTGGCTGATGTTGTGTAAGAAGACAGAGTGGCGGGGCACTGTGCTGAGCTGGAGCCAGTGCCTGTCTGGTGGGGTGGAAACAGCTACCACTCGCTTCAGCCATTTGCCACCGTGCATCTGCGGGCTAGGTGGCTTCTGGTGTATTCAGAAGAAGCTAGGATCCTAGATGTTTGTGAAATCTTCTGTTTTTAAATGTTAATTTGATCTTTTCTAAACATAGTTTGGGCCAACGAAACTTTGCTAGCTGAGTGCCACCCTTGTGCTGCTAATTAAAGTTTTAAATTCTTTCGTCCAACCCTAAAGACTTTCAATGTAAAATTATTTTTAGGTGTTTAACAAGGTTTTTCTGTCTATGCCAAGGTAGAATTTTCATGGCCATGAAAGGTATTTAACTCTCCTGGTCTGCCTGGGAGCTGTGCTGGGGGAGTGTGCATGCGCACGCGTGCTTCAGGCAGCACTGTGAGTGCTTAGAGAATCCCAGAAGCCATCTGTTCTCATGTAGGAAAGCCTCTCGCTCTTAGGGAATAATTTTTCTCAGGAAAACTTGGATTATAAACTCCTTTTGGGCCTTCTCTCTTAGGGAGTAAAAATGCTGCCTAGTAACAGTATTTGTGATGGGCGAGTTACATAGACAGCGAGTCGGGTGTCTAATGCATAATAAAGCAATCAGATGGGTAAAGGCATCTTTCAGAGGCATGAATATGAAAGGCATATGGTTAGGTAGAACATATATAGTTAAAAATGTAATTAGAAAAAAACTTGAATAGCTGTCACTATCTATATGACCTTTTAAAAAAGGTCGTCCTAATACTTTGCTCGTCTATAAAATTGAGTGTGACGATTATCACTTCACAGGGTTATGATGAGTTTTAAGTGAAACAAGTTACATAAAGCGCCTATTGCTGAGAGTATAATCATAAGTCGTTTGAATGTTAATTCCTTTTCCGTGTCAGAGAATTTGGTATTGGCTCTTGACCCAGGCCATGTTGGCCCACCTCCTTGGGCTTTGATGGTTCTTCCCGAGTGGAGTGGTGGTTAGTAGCCATCTCAGTGTAGACCAGGCTCTTCCTCTGAAACAGGGGTTGCAAACTCTTCTGGCCGGTCACCTGTCTCTACTGCCTGAAGGTTAAGAATGTTTTTCACATTTTTTGAATAGTTATTTAAGTGCATACTAGCCTTTGGCCCTCAAAGCCTGAAATATTTACACTCTGGCCCTTTGGATTAAAAAAAAAAAGATTGCCAAACCCTGTTCTAAAGTACAATCCACAAACAAGGCACATAATTCTATGTTCTGGGCGTCATTTTCTTCTCTTTAGAAGAGGTTATACTTGCCCTGTCTCTATGGAAGAGTTGTGTCAGGATCCAAAAGGTAGAAGATAGAACTGAAACAGGAATCTCATGTTTGTTTGGCTTTATAGAGATTGACCACTGGCCTTATTCAGTGACTCTGTGTCCAAAGCAAGATTATTTGCTGATCTACTTCCTTTGCTTCGTTGGACAGAAGTTGTTTAATTATGGAGTGCCTAAAGCAGAGGCTCTTAAACTTTTCACAAATCAAACAGTTGAGAAACCCTGGAGTTAGTGGAAAGAGTTAAAATCATGGCTGATATGTGATAAAAGTCTACCTTTGAATCATGGCTAGGTATGTGACAAGTAAACAGAACACTGTGCATGTCCCTTGTTGGTGGAAATAACTTTTTCCAGCCTTTAAAGAAGTAACTTCAGTAATCAGAACTAAACGTGAACATCAGAAGGTAGAAAGCTTTTGGGGAATGAATTGCTCCTCAGGGTCACTTGGTTTGCTGCCGGTGTCCCAAGAATCTTAACAGCATTACTGTTGCATCTTCATTATGTTTCCGCCGAATGCCTGGGCCCGAGACGATTCCCCAGGAGGCTTGTTATTTGATAGCTGACAACTAATGTGAAAATTCTTCCAACTGGAAGTAAGGGTTTGCAGCTCTTTCCAGACCAGTGGGCAGACTCAGAGTTCTGTAGATCTGAAATGGGGTAGAGGTCCAGGAAGTTAGTCTGAGGTTGAATGTTCAGTCCCTAGAAATAGTGCCTGCAGAATCATTGTGCTTTGAACTACCTGGCCTCCATCATTTTTCTACTAACAAAGAGCAGTGAGGGTGCCCTAGTTTTTTGCTTTGTTTTGCATTTATTCCAAATGGAGTTGAGTATCACATTTTGGTTACCTTTTTGAAAAAACACATGTTAAACTCAAAGTTTAGGTCTAATAACCGAGCCACGTTGATGCCATTGCAGAAACTTCAGTGATGTTTATTCTGCTGTACCTCTTAATAGTTCATTTTTTCCATTTTTGAAATTTGGGCTCATTATAGTTCACTTTCTGCTCCTGTAGCTTTTTATTGACTTGTCAAAGACTGGAGGTCGATTATTACTAAACTGAGCAGCTTGTTTTAAGTTAACAGGTTGAATGTACATTATTTTCCAATTTTTTAAGTTTTTCAACCAAATTATAGTGCCCTGCCTACAGTCTAGATATGGCAAGATGGTAGAAAGAAATGGTATGGATTTCAAGGAGAAATGTCTCATTTAGTTGACTCGGTAAGTTTGTTGTAATGTTTCTGATCCCCCTACCACGTATTTGGCAGCTGTTTATATATGATGTCTGATGTTTCTCCTTTGGTCTGTTTAAAAGAGATAATTATGGCACTTCGCAGTGGAAGCCAGAGAAGAACCCAGGCAGGCTAGCTATCAGACGTCTTCAGACTAGAAAGATTCCTGGAGGGAGTGGCCCTTTAATCTATCAGCTGAAGCCATCTGGTGGGACATTCAGTACAGAAGGAAGTATCCTAATCCAGCAATGTCAGTGAATTTCTCGGAATTGACTGACACAGAGCTAAAGGGCCTCTAGTAGTAACCACTGGAACCACAACTCCACTCCATCTTTGCCTCTCTAACACATGAGTTGGAACAGATACTCCTTGAGTATTAGAAAGTCTGCCTGGAGTTTATGATCCTGCTTCTTTATGGAGCTGATCGAAAACACTAGGTGTTTTTTTTCAAAGCTGCTTTGGGACCCTTGTTCCCGTGGGGTTTTTTAACCTCAGCTTCTCTTCTTATAAAGTTTATGAGACTGACAGTCTGACCACAAGCATTTGGGGCATTTTCTGTTTTGAGAAATTTATTTGCAGCTTCCTTTGATTAGATTTGGGACTATTTTCAAATAGCTGGTTTAAATGTTTTTGTTTCTGCATTTCAAAGAAAATGCCTATTGTTAATCTGTTCTTGCACATGAAGAATTGCTCTTTTGTTGTCAGGCAGAAGTAGTTCCAAGTATAGTCCTTGAATTCCTTTTTTTCAATTAGTATGATGATGCTCAGTGGTTATTAGTTGTAGATTGTCTGACACATCAGTGAGGGAGGGAGAGGTCAGTGCTTGACACATCAGTGAGGGAGGGGAAGTCAGCGCTTTGGCAGCATCTAACTCAGCTTGATCATAGCCTTTATGTCGCCACTGCTTCTTGAATCTTCAGAGTTAATATGTGACAGGCCTGTCTAGAGTTCAGTGGCTATCAATACCGCTTCCAAACAGGCTGTCACCTTGTTTGCATTATAGCCTTGAACACCTTCAGAGCCAGTGAAGTTCTAAAACTACAGCCATGCATCATTTCACGTTTTTTATTTACTGTACCATCGTACGCCTGACAGCACAATTGCTTTGTATACAAGAGACATGAGACACTCGTGTTGCTTGCGGAAAGCTGTTGTTTGCTACGTCGCATTCTCAGATCGCAGTTTGACTTTATGGGACCGTGGACCTATGTGCGAATGGAAGTTACGTAGCACATGACTATATGACTTACAGGAATGATTATCTGGTTAGGACTCCAATAATAATAAACATATGATCTTGTAAAACTACTGAAGGAACAAGTCAGATTGAGAGAAATCAAGAAATCATTAATCCTGATGATCTTGGGTACAAGTTGACGGTTATTTCTGAAATTAAAAGTGAAAAAACAAGGTTGTGCAGAGGAAGGAGAGTCAGGAATAGGAGGAAATGGAATGTTGGCTGATTGCCTCCATAAGCAGCTACCTCCTTTGCCATGAGACCAGAAGAACTGGATGGTGCTCAGCTACCATTACTGAAGACAATTCTGTAGAAGAATCCTGATTAAAGGGGGAAATATGTGGAATAGAATTTCAAATTCTAATGGTATACAGACTTTTCTGGCACCATTGTGGCTGGATGAACCCCAAAACTATTGCCCTGAGATAATCTTTAAACCTTAAACCAAAAATATCCCAACATCTTTAAACCAAACGTTGTTGGGTGCCATCAAGGCAGTTCTGACCGAGAGAGACTGTGATAGAGCTGCCGCATAGGGTTTTTTTAGCTATAATCTTTACAGAAGCAGATCTCCAGGTCTTTCTCTCGCAGAGTCGCTGTGTGAGTTCAAACCACCAGTCTTTCAGTTAGTAGCCAAGCACTTAACCATTGTGCCACCAGGGCTTCTTAAACCAAACAGTGGTTAATCAAAGGGTTGGCGGTTCGAATCCACCAGCCGCTCCATGGGAGAAATGACCTGGCAGTCTTCTGTAAAGATTATACAGCGTAGGAAACTCTACGGGGCAGTTGGACTTTGTACCGCAGGGTTGCACCTAACAGCACAACAGTAGAGAATGTCTCGCCTTGAGCATTGTGCTCTTTTAAAGAACTATAGAGGATCAAATTAACTACAGCAGCTGGAAGGGTTAGATAGGAAGCTTAGGGGGCAGTGAGTTCATGTTAATAGGGAAGAACAATTCAGAAAATGAGGGTGAGAATGGTTGCACAGCTTGAAGAATGCAGTCAGTTTTGCTGAACTGTACATGTAGAAATTGTTCAATTGGTGTGTGTTCTGTATTTTCAACAAAAAAACATGAATATGAAAATATGGAGTATATATATTAAGTGATTTGGGCAATGTGTCTCCTTGACTTTTATTACAAGTTTGTATTATTTGTTTATTAAAGTGTTTGGGATGGAACATTTCTAAACTTGAATGGTATTTCTCAATTTTATATGACTACCTTGTTTAACCTTTTCATGCTAGGATACTATACAATACAAGGCTGTTTCATTTTTTTTTTTTTCCCCTTTCTCTCCTAGGTGGTCTTCGGGGGATAGCACGAGGTGGTCTCACAGGACTCACACTCACCAGTCTCTATGCACTATATAATAACTGGGAGCACATGAAAGGCTCCTTGATCCAGCAGTCACTCTGAGGATTTTGCCAGCTTGTGAACGGAGGACACTTCAGTAGTCATCCACACCAGTTTATAAGTCAGTCTGGAGTTATTCTCTACCTACAGTTAGTTTAAAAAGTGGGAGATTGTTTTGCCATGATGAAGATCATTGATGGTTACCAGGACTGGCATGTCTAGCCATTTGCGTTGCAGCCAAACTCTTTGGAAGGCTCACTGAGTACATGGTTCTCTTCTCCTTTGGAGACCTTGCACATATTACCCCTTGAACTGGAAAACCACTTACTCCCAAAATCACCAAGTTTGTTGACTTAATGTTCCCCTGTATTCCCAATAAAGGGTGAAAACAGAACCAGAGGAGTCATAACGCCAACATAAACATAGTGGGTGTCTCCATTTAGAAGCATTACCTAGATATAAAGTGAATGTTACTCTTGGCATTTTTTTCTGTCCCAGCTAGTCTAAAACATATTTTCTTGTCTGTGTTGAAATGAAGGACTGCTTGGTGGCATTAAAAGGCAGGATAAGACTCTCCTCCAAGAGTAGATATGAAAACTCAGGATTATTTCAGGTTGATCATTCTGCAATTAGTGGGTTAAGATACTCTGTCCAACAGTCATGTTTAGTTCTGTGTGCATTAACTCATCTCCTTACTGGGGGTAATTAGAAAAAGAAGATGAACTAGGTAAGAGCTACAAGTTTCTGAAGGAAGCCTTTGGGAAAGCTAAACAGATGATAAAGGACAAATTGAGTTTTCTCATCTAGAATATGGATTTAATCAACAGGTAACTGCACTGCAGGTTACACGTATGCATAACAAAAATACTAAACTGGTGGCTGTTATGACTGGGAAAAGTAAACCAGGGCCTTTTGGATGTATCATCTGGGAGGAGGGAATTAGGTAGAAAGGCACTGACCATCAGCTGAAATCTCCTGTTGATATATATATATACACACACACACAGTTTTAACATTTTATCTGCAACAGAACAGATTCAAAATTAAAAGGAATGGATGTGAAGAGTTTGCAGGGAAAAAAAATTGAAAATTGAAGCTGTTAATATGACTTATTTGCTGATTTAAGAAGATTCATAAAATAGACATTTTAGTAAATGTAAAAACAATTTTTATGTATTCAAGTTGTTTCTCAGCAATGTTCCTAACCAGAGGTTATCACGTTTTTAAAATATGCTAGCACGTTCCGTGACAAGGTAGTTTTACAAATACACGCGACAACTATGGCTGTTACGGTTTTAATGAAGAGGTATAAAATGCATCAGTGCAAAAAAATGTTTTACATGATGTTAGCATAGTAATTGATGTAAATTTAGGAATACGAAGTTTTGTTACACCTCAAAAAAAGAAAACTCTACAAAGCAGTTTCCTGCAACCTAAGATCTGGGAAACAACACTCCTTAAATTGTTTTTACCCCACGCCTTTGTAATTCTAGTTCTAAATGGTATCTGGGGGGACTAAATGGTATCTGGAGACACATGAGGCTCTTTTCAGCTGTAGTCCAAAGAATTCTAGGGAAGCTGTGGGACTGTGAAGTTTCCCCTAAAGGGCCTCTGAGTTGACCACATCACGAACTTCAGTAAAATACTTCCAATAATACACAGGCAGTTAAGTGGTTTAGTAGTTCAAAACCCTGGGAAGAGACTTAAGATATCTCATTTTAGAGAATTTGAAAACATTATAAATCCCATTTCTCTCCTACAGAGAAACTTTTTAAAGCACGGACATGACTTTAAGGATGATGAGGAAAACATCAATAGTTTTTATAGTGTCAGCAAACACCCCAAGGCACAAGTGTTCAAAACGGCCTGTTCCCTAAAATGTCACTTCTTTATACTTGTAAAGGTGTAGGTGTGTACAGTGTGAAGACATCTAATTTATCCCTAAGTAAGAGCACCACGTGTCACGCTCAGCTTCCATGTATTTACACACGCTGCACCCATAACCCCCAGGAGAGTAAATAGTTCAAGCACAGTATTTTCAACACGTCTTTGCCTTTTGCTCTTTGATTAGTCAGCACTGGGGCTCTTTGGCCTGCAGGATATTTGGAAAGACGCTAGGACTAACTACACTGAATGTGGTCTTGAAACACTACAGCGCCCTTCTAAAACAGCTCATCAGATACTTTAATAACATTAAGAGATCAACAAAGAATTTGCAAAAGTTAAATTTCTTTCAAAAGAATACAGAACTAATATGTAAGCTCAATATGCTTTGTAATTGTCATAAATTGCCAAGATTATTAATACACATTTTGGTAAGAAAAGAAATCACTGTTGGCAAGGTAAATTATTCATGTGGGAAATAGTTATATTAATTAAACAATTATTTCAGAACACTAATGGAAGAAAACCCACAGCAAGGGAGCTTCTAAAGGGCAATCAAAAGGCTAGGAAAGTTTACTACCTTTATAACACATCAACACACTGTGAGTACAGAAATAATTCATTTTTAAAACTACAGTGCTTTAATGTACTTCTAGTAACAATTCAATCTAAGGAGCTGTGGAGGCTTATGAAAAAGACCTATCCACCAAGATGCTGTCTCTAATGAATTAAGTCATACTTCTGTAAGAAGGAACTGAATCTCCTCAGCATCAATTTAACAAACTGTCATCATTTTTTACACAGTAACTTATAATTTGATGACTTGTTTCTCTTCACTGGTTCAAAGTGAGGCAGGAAGGGAACTAAGCTGACTGGGCAGATTCGGAAACGATTTGGCAAGGCGCGGTCACTCGGCTCTTGGACAGGCGATTATCTGCAGAGACGGTGCTCAACTCTAGTATTCCACTCCTTCACATCTGTAAAGAAGCCCACAGATGAAGTCACCTCACTAGGATAAAAGCAAGTTTTTCCCACCTTGATGCTGACTCATTTCTCAATAGGCTACTAGAATCCAGAGGCTATGAAAATTTCCTTGACAGCTACGTCATCTTGAAAGGTCAGTTTTGAGTATGTCCTAGATTTTTCACAAAGCAAAGTGGAAATACATGACATTTTAATGATCTCCCTCTCTTCCACTCTCACTTGCCTAATACACATAACATCAACAGGAATAGAGTTCAATGGGCAAAGTATGAATTCATATGTAAGATAAAATATTTACTTTGTAAGCAGCTAAAACCAGTAGTAGTCATGCTGGTAGCCCATACCCACCTGTAGAGGAGTTCGATACAACCACTTTTCTTTATCAACTTTAAGCTGCATACAGGCAAAGAGATCACAAACTGCTGGAAGGCCGTAACAGTCTGCGGAAAAGTTACCTTCCTCCTGTAGGGGTGAATTAAGTAATACTTCCTGCAAGTAGACAAAAAGGGTGGGTTACTACATGGTACTACATGGTAACTGGGAGTTATAAGACCAACTTAACTCATCTTCCAATATAAAGAATAAATGTTGGCCATTCCAATAACTAAGAGCCAAGGTGACAACTGTTTCTTCCACCCCAAATCTTTTCCATCAGAAACAGTAAACAGGCTAGGTTTTTTCTTTTCCTGCCAGGATGGGGAGTAGGGGCCTGAAAAATGGACAAAAATCTCAGTCTGAATAATCATTAATTTACCACACTGGTAAATGTTAGTCTGCCCTCTGTTCTGTTGCTAACGTAGCACCAAAATTAATACCTTAGCCACATTTAGCATTTAAAGGTCTGGGATTAAGAATGTAAGAATCAATTAAAATATTTCTGACAGTGCTATTTTGTTATCTGCTCACCCGGGCCTTTTTCCGAAGTAACCACTTGTCTTTTCCTGAGGATACCTGGCTGAGCTTTCCTGTGTTCTTTCTTGGCAAGACCCAGTCAGCTGTGTTAAAGGGACACCAGGAAGTGGCCATGGGGCTCACAAGCTTTTGTTTGTCAGCTTTGTCCTCAGTAATAGGCACTTCCTTGGGACTTCCTTCTTTGCAAGATGGTCTGATGAGCCACCCTGACAAGGGGCTGTTGCGTATGACTTGAAAGGAATCAGCAATTCTAGAAGGAGCCATAGCCTGTGATGCCTTAGCTTGCTCTGCGGTCTCTCTTCTGGAAGGACAGAGCCACATACTCAGAGAATCCTTAAGCTTCTCAAGCTCAGGTTTTGGATCCACAGGCATCCCATTTTTATCTTTTCCTCCTTTCTTCAGAAGCCACGTGCACAGAGCTTCCTTCTCACAATTTTCATCACACACACATTCTGAGAAGCTTGTGCAGGGCTCGTTGGCTCTGCAGACCTCCTCTACTTTATACGGTTCTTGAAGGTTCTGGACAAGCCAATCCACGGGAACCATGCTGGGGGCAGACGATGGTTTCTTAGCCTCCAGGTGGTCATTCAGGCACTTCAGATTGCTCAGGTTTTCAATCTCTACACCTTTGGGCTGGTTGCCTTGACAACTAGTACAGGAATCGGGCTTGACAAGCCAATCGCTCACATGATAGGGCTCCTGGAAAACCTGGAACAAGAGCTTGAACTTCTCACTGGTTTCACAGCTGCCATTCTCAGGCTTCTCCAGCTTATGGGGTTTCTGGGGAGTCACCAGCCAATGGGAAAGGTCCACCTCATCTTGACCAAGAATCTCCAGATCTCCAACCTTTTTATCTTCAATGGAGAAAGAACTGGTAGAAAAACAGCTGTTAGACTTTTGGTAACTTGGTTTTTCAGGAACTTCCTGTTGCTGACTCTTGAGAAGCCAGTTTTCCAAGCCTTTTCGGTTGCCCCAGACATTACTGAAGAAATTGTAGGCTCTGGGAGAAGTCTACACAAGAAGTACACAGTATTAATTCACCTGAACAATTATGACTGCTTTGGGGATTCAACATAAAATAGCTTTGTTTTCATATTTACTGTTTTGTTAGATGTTTCTAAATTTAAGTATACCAAGGCCAAGAGGCAAGAAAGAAAAAAATGTTTGTGGCATATTTGATAGAAAACTGGCTAGTATCCCTTATATGACAAGCCTTTACAAATAAAGAAGACAAAAACAAAGGAGATAATCACACAATCAGAGAAGGCTAATAAACATGAAAATACATAACCTCATTATTAAAGAAACTGAAAGGAAAAAACCTTATAAATGATCCCACTATTAGGGTTCAGGGAAGCAGTACCCTCAATACTCTACTGGGAGAAACAAACTGATATCAACTTACTGGAAAACCAGATTGACAGTAAGTATCAAAAGTCTTAAAAGAGGATGTAGAATTATACTTTAGGAATGCAATTTCTGGGAATTTACTCCTAAGGAACTAATCAATAATGTGTACAAATAATCAGCTACTTACTGAGTGTTTAGGGAAGCTTTGTTTATATCCAGAAATACTGGAAATTAAGTGATAGTATATAATATTTTTTTGATTGGCTATTAAAAACACTACAGAAGAAATTAACTGGTGGAGAAATATATTCATGATTAGTGAAAAAAATCTGCTTACAAAAACAGGATTTACAGACTAATTTTTTCAAGTATACGTATGCATAGAAAAACAACCAAAAATGTGCATGGTGAGATTATGGTTTTGTATTTCTTTTATAGTTCTTTATTTTCTAAACTTTCTCTCTATAATGAAGAAGTGTCATTATTATAGCAAATTATTATTAAATGTTTCCAGACTAGAACTAAAAACTAAACAAAGACATACACTAGTAGTTACTAGTAACTAACCTCATCTACTACTACATCCACCTTAGAAACGATAAATGCAGAAACATACCTGACTATTATCCAAGGCCTGCTTTTGGGTGAGCCAGTCCTGGGGGTTGGTGCTGGGTACGTACGGAGCCTGATGACCCTGGGCAGGTTTGCTTCCAAGAAGCCATTCACTGAGAGGGACAGCTGTGGTGCCGGATGATGACTTCTGCTAATCACAGAATCCTCTGTTGCTTAACGGGCAATGTCAACTGCAGGACAAAACTCACCAGGAAAGTAGGAAACCTAAGCTCTCTGATCTGGGCTGAACGTTAACCCTGAACGAGCCTCGGTTTCCACAATTCTAAACTAAGGAGCGCAGTTCATCTCCAGAGGTCTTCTCAACTCTCAAAGTCTAGGATTCTATATTCACACTGCCTTTAGAAGTCAGTCATCTCTATGAATTATAAAGAGAAGGATCCCCGAGAGAGCTAACACCAACTAATGATCATCTCCTATGTACCAACTGGAAACAATTACGTTCTTTCAATCTACACCTACAAAACCTCTAAATTTCTATCTGACATTCAATTCCACGAGAAGTATTTAATTCCATAAACTTAACTCATTACCAATGGTGGCTTTTTATAAATAGATGCTAGCTAAAAAGAAAGGGGGGGGGGGTAGTCAAAAGAAACACAAGCCAAGTAGTGACTCAGTTACCAGGAACGAAGCCATTTTACCTGCTCTGGCACTGGGATATAACCCCTCTTCTCCAAGAAGGGTCCAGTACTTGATGAATTAGTATGAGCCACCAGGTGCTCAGGAATTTGCTATAAAATGAAGGCAATATAATCATATTATTTATGCTATGCTTTCATACCAAAAAGTGAGACTTTAATTCCTAAATTTCAAAAGCATTATGCTAAGTATCACCACTTCACTAGAATATTCTTCACACTAAACCCAACGACCTACAAAGCAGTTATCAAATCTCAGAACTCTCCGCTTCTAAATAACTATCATCACATAAGAAATTTTCACCAGAATTGGTAGTAAAACACTACTTTTAACAAGCCCAAATGAAACTCTTTTTGGTTCTCTATTAAAGACCACTCAAGCCACAAATTTAATAAGAGCTATGTTAAAAGCATTTAAAGAGATACAAAATGAATTCCAGAGACTAGCAATGAGTCAATACCACATTGCAAGAACTACCAAACTAATGTTCTAACTATAGACTTAATCAGAACATGAAATTTCTGAAGTTTAACAAATTCTCAAAAAAGTCACTCCTCAGAGTAAAAACGTGATTTTTTTTTTAAAGACCATCCGTGAGGCCACAGGCCTGAGGAGCGCCCTGTGAACTACCTGAGATCAACGTTACTCACCATGGTCTTGAGGGACCCAAACGTGGTCATGGTCTGGCGAAGCGCAGCTGTGTCTGCTTCAAAGAGCAGGACGGTGGACTCTTCTGGTTTGAGAGTCAAACTGCCCAGTCTGGGAAAAACAACCAAAACCTGGCTACTTCTAGGAATATCTGTTTCAACTTCATCCAAAACAAAAGCTAAATTGTTTTTAAATGATTATATTTTTCTAAGAAACTATGGCTTTATCATGTATCAGCAGGCATAATATTAAATATATAAAGCAGCATGATCTTATCACAGAAACCAAGAATTCAATTTAAATCAATACATGTAATGAGTTCAAAAATCTTTTTTTTTTTTCCTTAATATACCAAAGTCAAGGAGCCAAAAGTCAAAACTAGGAACAAGTGCCTTTACCTCTCCAGGCACACAGAAACTTGATTGGCTAGATCTTTGTTTTGGGAGCACTCCAGTTGATGAATGAGACAATTGAACTGGCCCAATAACTATTAAAAAAAAAAAAAAGAAACCATCAAGCCACTAATGATACAAAAACACCAGGAATATCCAAGTTAACAAATAGCACTTGAGAGTAAACTTTGATCTGATCTATATAAACACTCCATTACAGGGAAGACGTTCTCTAGAAGTCAGTTCAGACCCAACAGAGCCAGGGAGCCTCATTACCCAGTAGAGCTGCTGGGCTTGCTGTTGTAGTGTCTCCTCTTTAAGCTGAGAGATGAGGTCGACCTGTTCATACAGCCACACCTCACGGCTTCGAAGGCATTCCAGGTGACGGCTTATGCAGCTGTGAATCTGAGCTTTGACCTAAGAAACACATACATGTTAGCCTCACTACTGTGAGAAGCTTGAAGAATGGTGTTTCCCCCACAACAGTGAGGTTCTTAAACTTTTGGGGGTCACATATTCTTCTGATAATCTAATGACATCTATGGAACATCTGCCCAGGAAAATGCGTACACTAAAAACTTTGTCTTAAATTCAGAGTTTAGTGTCCCAAAGCCTACCCGTGGTCCCAACAAAGCCCCAAGGACCCCAGTTTAAGAATCCCAGCCAAAGAGGCATATACCTAAGCTCTAAAATTCTCCTTTAATACCCTGCCTTCTAACAGGATCATGTTTATTTTGGGTGTTCTAAAGTAACCAAGACAAAATATAAGAATGTATCAAGAGATACTGATCCCCCTCAGTTTTCCATATAATTTTAAAACCTATAGCTTTGCAAGGTTATCAGTGGAATAGGACAGAAAATATTCTGTAGTTATATTTAAAAAGTGAATATTTAACAGCTAGCCCTTATCTCTTTTCCCACCCACAGAATGAGCCAACCACTGACATTATGCCAATTTTAGTAAAGAGACATGCCACTACATCATGTCAATGGCACATAATGGGAGTTTAAGTAAAATTATAAACTATTTCCGAAAACGGTGATTCAAACTGGGGCTAAACGTAAAAATCCCAAGACTCCCCTCCCCCCCAAAAAATTATAGCAGCTATAAATAATCCATGAAAATCCACCTAAATTATATTTTAAAACACATTTTTCTGTACAATAAAGTTGTGCTTCAAAATAATCTAAGACTCAATCTACCCACTCACCAACAGATTCTTATTGATGTCAGTTGCCATGAAGTCGATTCTAACTGATGGCGACCTCACGTGTGCAGAGTAGAACTGCTCCACAGGGTTTTCAAGGCTGTGACCTTTCGGAATCGGATCACCAGGCCTGCCTTCCAAGGTGCCTCTGGGTTAGTTCGAACTGCCCACCTTTGGTTGTGCCAGTAGTCGAGCACTTAACCGTGTGGTCTACCCAGAGACTCCAACAGATTACTATACATTAATGGACCTAACAGCTTCCATTCTGGCTTGCCTTTACAAATAAAGTCATTTACAGAACCAGGCCACAAAAACCATCAAACAAATGAAAAGACACCTGGGGACGTGCAAAGAGCCATCCTTTCCGCATCCAAAGGACAGAGCTGAGCAGTACAGCTCCCTGGTTTAGTTATTTTTTATTGATGGCAGTGCATGGCACAGGGACCACACCGAGAGGCAATCAAAAACGCATGCTGAACTGAATTCTCTAGAGTGGTACCAAGTTTTCCAGACTCTAACTAACATCTGCCTTATTTCCCTATGGGATCAAAGACATCGATTATGTCAGGCAGCTGACTAGGATTAGAAAGATCATAGAAGGCATGGGGTGAATCTGGCTGGCAGTGAGAAGCCGCATCCCTGGCCATGCTCTGATCAGCCCTGTGACAAGTCCAGACAAGGGAAGGGAAAAGTACACATCACACCTCTCGGAGGTTATCTTTGATTTGCTGTTCAGCCCGGAGAACTCCACCAATAGCAAGCTCCAAGTCCCTTCGTGCATCACAACACCTTGAAAGGGGCTCTTGATTAGTGGAGCAGCCACTCTGGTCCTGTGAGGTGCTCATTCTGCTCACTGTGCCTTTAAAAGGAAAACAAAATCAGCAATCAAAACAACATTGTAATTACAACCAAAAATCACCTTTTAACCATCCCTCAAATAATCATTCCAGCCAGCTCCCAAGTACTAACTACTTAGTAAGTAGCATACTCTTAATAAATATTACCCCCCAACTGTGTTCCCACCATAAAATTCTATACTTTAATGACACTTTACAGGTAAACATATATATTTTTGAAAAAACACATTAATTTTCCTGATTCAAGAGAGTAAAAGGTTAAAAGACCATGGGAGTGTAAGTTTCTATTCATAACACACATAAAGTCATATGGGGCATGTGTTCCTGTTTTGCAGATTTAGAGATGAAGACTAAAAAGTCTGGGAGGATCCATAATTACTTAAAAAATAAGCTGCAAACCAGTAACTTGACACACAGACTTTAGAACACTGTTTCGATCCGGCATTTGCCTAAATCTATTGGGAATATGAAATTTTTTTGTTTTCTTGCTTCCCTTTTTAGATGGATTTTTTTTTTTTTTTTTTTTTAGGAAGAAGTCAGGGGTGGCTTCATAGCTAGAAGGCTCACAATAATGTAAATCTGACAAAATAACTTCATAGGATTCTGATAAGGATGTAACAGGTATATACAGAAATTTAGGAGGGTATATACAGAGAAAGGAGCTCTGGTGGTACAGTAGTTAAAGTACTCAGCTAATTGAAAGGTCAGCAGTTTGAACCCACCAGCCATTCTGGAGAAGAAAAGATACCGCATTCTGCTTCTGTAAAGATTACAGCCTTGGAAACCCTATGGGGCAGTTCTACTCTGTCCTATAGGGTCACGAAGAGTCAGAACTGACTCGATGGCAAGGGGCTTGGGTTTATATACGGAGAATTCTCTAATAAGCTCAGATGTATGAGAGATAAGAAAGAGAAGTAGAACAGCACATAACCAATGACATAATGATATGAGACTAGGACAGAAAGTGTCAGAAAAGCCATGAGGCAAATCTTGACAACACTGGAAGAACAATTTGTGGTCTATCCTGGATAGATCCAGAATCAGAGATAGTTTCTAAATGCTTATAAAAAGAAAACACTGATCACTGTAGCCCAGCATGGGTTCACTAAACCCTATGAAACCAAAGTTATTTCCTTTCTGGATAGTGTTACTAAACTGGCCAGTCAATGGAATGCTGTAGACATAATGTATCTAGACTACAGTAAGACTTGTGACAAGGTTTATGTTACCTCTGAGGACAAGGTGAATACAGACTAAATAGAAGTACTACTGGATCAAATCAACGTTTTTTTTTAGAAGTACTCAAAGGTTAATGGACTGAAGTCTAAAGTTTTTAGTGGCTTGTCTCCACGTTACTCAGCTGTTTCCATAATTACGTGGATGAAAACACGGGACTGCCAAAATGTTTTCCATAACATAAATATTTAGATTACAAAACAATCTCCACATAGTTGTTAAATCTAACAAAATACAGATTTTTTTTTTTTTTTTTGCAGTGGAATGAGGGAGTACAAGGTGGAAAAGAATAAATTGTTTAGAAGAATGGAGAATTTTTTACAGACAGTAACCTCTATGTGAGTTAGCAGTATGCTGGGTCTGAGAAAATAACTTACACCATTTGATAGTAGTTAACAAAAGTATAGCATCTGCCACAGACTAATCTTGTTCTGTGCTCATTAGAAACGAAATTTGAAACTTATTTCTGAGTAACACACTTTAGATGAGGGCATTCAGAAGAAAGAGACCTCAAAACCACAAAAAACTTCTCCAGGAAGAGGCTGTTTAGCCTAGATAAGAGAAGTCTCTGGGAGGACATGATTACTATTCTCAAGTATCTGGAGAGCAGTCAGGTAGAATAATTAGGCTTGTTCAGAATAGTCCCAAGGAGGAAAAAAGGATTAATAGGAAACATTTCAGACAATATATGAAAGAACTTCCCAACAGTCCTGAAGGAAATGGCCAGAGAAGCCAGCCGAGACCTGTCCAGTGTGGAGTCCTCCAAATGGCCAACTGCCCATCTGAGACAGTGTGGCTACTGTGGCCTAGCTTTAGGGGCCAGGTGGCCAGCTGAAAGCAGGATCAGGACAAAGCAGGGTGAGCCCTCAAAAATAAAACGATGGGAGAAAAAAGCCCAATAGGCTTTCTTTTGACCATCTCAGCAAAAGATTCCAATTCAGGAACTACAGAGTTCCTATAAGAAACTCAAATATTCAAGAAACTTTTCACTTCCCCTTGTTAATTTTGTTATCTTAGTTGGTTTCCCCAAGATGATTTGTAAAAAGGAAGAGTTCCTTAATCAGGTTTGACAGGAAATCCCTGCAGAAATTTTTTTTAGTGCTCGGAACAGCAGCTGTCGCTGTCTCGCTGCCTTCTTCACACTGTCAGCGCCCCGTCTGAAGCACTGACGTTGGTGCGCGTTTGGGGGCACACTGCAGGGAGTTTGAAAAACAGCTCACCAGCAGGTGAAACTCTGGCTGAGATGTGGAGAGCCAGTGAGTCAGCTCACTGCCACAAGGTGCTTAACTGTGCGCTCAAAAGTCAGTCACGCGAAGAAAGCCTCTCAGTTCAATCACAAGTACTCCACAACCGCCTAATGAGAGTGGCACATGGGAAAAGCACACCAACAGGATTCTCCTCTTACCAGCTGTGGACAGAATGCAGGATGAGACTAACGAGTTCCAAAACTGATTCTCCCCTGCTGCCCCCACGCACACATTTTTCAAATTCAAGTGAATATTATCTGTCATGGATTAAATTATGACCCCCAAAAAATGTGTGTAAGCAATCTGGCTGGGCCATGATTCCCAGTATTGTGTGGTTGTCCTTCATTTTGTGACTGTAATTTTACGTTAAAGAGGATTAGCGTGGAATTGTAACACCCTTACTAAGGTCACATCCCTGATCCAATGTAAAGGGAGTTTCCGTGGGATGTGGCCTGCACCACCTCTTATCTCTCAAGAGATAAAAAGGAAAAGGAAGCAAGCAGAGGGGGGAACCTCACACCACCAAGAAGCAGGGCTCGGAGCAGAGTGTCCTTTGGATCCAGGGTCCCTGTGCCTGAGAAGATCCTCAACCAGGGAAAGATTGATGACAAGGATCTTCTTACAGAGATGACAGAGAAAGCCTTCCCCTGGAGCTGATGCACTGAATTTGGACTTGCAGCCTACTAGACTGTGAGAAAATAAATTGTCTTTGTTAAAGCCATCCACCTGTAGTATTTCTGTTACAGCAGCACTAGATGACCAAAACAGTCATCTTGCTGGAACACTTCTCATAAGAATCTTTATAGAGCCCATCTGTCAGCCACTGAGACAACCTGTTTTGTTTCTTTATAGCCAGTCCCAGGAGGCTTGTCCCTTTGCTGCCCATCTCTGTCCCTCCTTCTGGAAGGGCAAAGGGCATTGGCCACAGTCCACGCCCCAAGAAAAGTGCTGAGTAAAAGGTCGTATGTGGCAAGGAGGAAGGCTTTCAGAGCTGAAGTCAAGAATCCCACTACCCAGTGATCTTAAATCACAATGCGTTCAAGCCCCTGTGTAAGCCTGTGCAGCAAGCATTACAGTTTAAGGGATCAATCTGGCTAGGGTCTGACAAACTGGAGTTCCAGGCTGCATCTGCAAGCTTCAGACCCGTGTGCTAGTTACTTTCTCTCTCTGGGATTTCCTCTGGGAAAACGGAGACAATGACAGCAGCTCCAAAGGGCTGCAAGGAGAATCAAGACATTGTCTCTCTATAAGCACTTAGCCCTGCACACTGCAAGCACTCCATGTTAGTGTCTAACATGGCTGTTATTGTTACCAGGTTTAGTTGAGTGATGGGGACCTAAGTAACCTCCACCTTTTGGAACATACAGATCAGCACAGATGCTGGAAAAGGTTGAAAGGGAGGCAGCCCTGACCCAGAATCCTGTAGTCACTTATCACTGTGATGACCCTGGACCACGTGCACTTACTAAACCTAACTTCCTAATTCCTAAGTGTGGATGGCAATATCCACCTGCCAGTCTTGTGGGTACGGATCCGGTGCTTGTTAAAAAAAATTAACTCCTCATCTAGTCTTTCACTACACGACACAGCCAAAGGCAAACTTTTCATAGCAAAAATGCAATAATCTGTAATGAATATCAAGTATGCACATTTCTGGAGCCCAGGTGTCACAGTGTTTAAGAGCTCGGCTGCTAACCAAAAGGTCAGCAGTTTGAATCCACCAGGTGCTCCTTGGAAACCCTATGGGGCAGTTCTACTCTGTCCTATAGGGTTGCTATGAGTCAGAATCAACTCCACAGCAACAGGTTTTTTTTTATTTTTATTTTTTTTATGTACACTTTTGTCTGTTTTCTTACCTGTAAAAAGATTGACCCAAATCAACTCTAAAATTCAAATCAATGAAAGATGACTAAAAATGTCTTATCTTTACCTTTATTATCCAAACACCTGCCCTACTATCTTCAAAAGAGGATTGCCTTAAATTTTTATTTTTCGAGACACAGTTAAAAATTTAGGTGCTTTCTAAAACTACTCTGCCTCTGGGATCCACGTTCTAGGTTTCAGAATGAAAAGAAAAAAAAAAAGGCGGGGGAAAGACGCGCGCGCGCGCGCACGCACACAGGCACACACACACCCCTCTCAAGCAAATAACCGCACCTGAGCTTTCCTCAAAGCTGAGGAATCCTACAAAGTATATATGCCATACTTGCACAAATCTAGTTACAAAGTCCAAAGGTCATGGAAGACCTGAACTAACCACAAATGAAGCTGAGTCATTATCAAATGGTTTAACCAAAAAACTTCCAAAGAGCTACAACCTCTTGTGACCCACATAAACCACAATTTAAAGCTGGGAGGTGGCGGTGGTGGGGTGGTGGTGGAACTTAGCAATGTGTTTAGTACACCACCCTCATTTAATAGATGAAGACACAAAGACCCAGACAGGTTAAATGACCCACTTGTTATGGACTGAATTATGTCCCCCCAAAAATGTGTGTAGCAATTTGGCTGGACCATGATTCTCAGTACTGTGTGGTTGTCCTCCATTTTGACTGTAATTTTATGTTAAAGAGGATTAGGGTGGGACTGTAACACCCTTACTAAGGTCAGATCCCTGATCCAATGTAAAGGGAGTTTCCCTGGAGTGTGGCCTGCACCACCTTTTGTCTTACAGAGGTAAAAGGAAAGGGAAGCAAGCAGAGAGTGGGGGGTCTCTGCGTGGAGAAGCTCCTAGTCCAGGGGAAGACTGATGATGACAAGGACCTTCCTCCAGAGCCAACGGAGAAAGACTTCCTCTGGAACTGATGCCCTGAATTTAGACTTTTAGCCTGTGAGAAGAGGTCACAAGCGGTTTTAGACTGTGAGAAAATATATTTCTCTTTGTTAAAGCCATCCGCTTGTGGTATTTCTGTTACAGCAGCACTAGATGACTAACACACCACCTAAATGCAGATTTGGGTTTAGAACTAAGATTTCTGAGGCCTAGTCCTGGATTCTCTACCTACATTGTGCCTGTTCTTCCTTTAGTGTATTATCAACCGTAAGTTGTTTTTATTTGCAAATACTAGGGTTTAAAATTGACATTGCAATGGAATGACTTCCATTAGGTTTCTTAGTCTGTTTTTATAGCCCTCTTAATAAATTATAACCACAGTTTTGCAGATCTTTCTTGCTTGAATAATGCACTAAAAATAAACAGTACCTTGCGTGACTTGACAGACACAGGATCGTCGAAACACTGACAAACCCCAATGCCAAGTACAAAGAAGCAAGAGCCCTGCATTCTAATCCCACGTCTATATCACAGCCACTGGTCTGTCTGAATGAAGGCTTAAACCAGATCACCTCTAACTGCACCTTCCAGCTCTCGCCTTCCTTGCCACCTACCCAGCACCCCCCTCCAAAAAAAGATATCCACTTTTTACTTATTTTCCTGATATCTGAATCATTGCTAGACAGCCAAGCCCCTAAGAAACAATCTACAGGATACGCATGCATTCTGTGGATTACTGAATTCAAAATATTTCAAGTTTGGGTATCTTTGACCAGACAACCTATATTGGACTGTTTGTACAAACTTTCCATTATAAACATTATTAAACAACACTGTAACATTCCACATTCAATTTTACCTTGATTTCTTCTTTACTTCACTGCTCTTTCTTCCTGTTAAAAAAGATTGTTTTTGATATCACAATTCCTTAACACAAAAGTTATACATATCTCACCCTATCCCCAAACCAAAAGAAACAAACCAACCCACTGCCGCTGAGTCAATTCTGACTCACAGCGACCCTATACGACAGAGTAGAACTGCCCCCTAGGATTTCCAAGGAGCGGCTGGTGGACTGGAAATGCCAAACTTTTGATTAGCAGAAGAGCTCTTAACCACTGCGCCACCAGGGCTCCACCCTATCCCCAGCCCACTTTAAATGCTTTATCGAGTAGTCTCAGAAATCCAGGCTACAGTTCCCCATTTTTTTGAAAAGCATACAAATAATCGTTAATATCTTCAGAGAACTAAAGAAAATAAAGTAATAACAAATTCACTATAGCATATTCTAAGGTTACAGCACTTAGACTTACAGTCTACTGAGCTTGGATTTGTCTACCTCTCTACAGTAAAACCTGCGAAAGCCAGAACCTGTGTAAGGTGGAAACCTGTCAGAGAAAGAAAACGCAGATATTTTTCCACTAAAACGAGCAATAGAAAAGTGGTGAGACTGCACCCGGCGGAAAACTTGTCGGACCCAGAAAAACAAGGCAGTCCCCGGGAGTTCCGGCTCTCACAGGTTTCACTGTACAAGTAACTGATTTATGAGCGCCAGTAATCCCAGGACATCAACTTTCCGAAGGAGTTTAACTGACAACTGACCCCAAAATTTTACCACCTAACGCCCCGTAAGGCTTTTCTATTTCAAAAGCAACCATGATTCACGAAACTTTCTACGTTTCCCAAATACACTTTCTAAGAGCGCAGTGGCCTTACGAGACCTCGGGTCCCTTTCTCTCTGGAAGCCGCAACCGCCCATTCACACCGGGGCTGAGCCGGCACTCCGGCTGCAGCACGCGTGTGCGCGGCCCGGCAGCTGCGCACCCTTCTCCGGCGTGGCGCCGGCCTGCCAAGGCTCCCGCAGCGCTCCCCGGGCTGCCGGATGTACCTTGCAGG